TCACAGGAGAAATTCCAGAAACGATTGGGAATTTGACTTACCTACAGGTGATTGATCTGTCATATAATTCTCTATCCGGTTCAATTCCGTTGAGCATTGTTGGCTGTTTCCAGTTATTAGCTTTGATCCTAAGCAACAATAATCTTTCCGGCGAAATCCAACCGGAACTTGACGCATTGGACAGTTTGAAGGTTCTTGATATAAGCAACAACAATATTTCTGGAGAAGTTCCATTGACTTTGGCAGGGTGCAAGTCTCTGGAGGTGGTGGATTTCAGTTCCAATAGTCTCTCTGGAGCTCTCAATGATGCAATAACCAAATGGTCTAATTTGAGATATCTTTCCCTTTCTCAGAATCTGTTCAGTGGGGTTCTTCCGAGCTGGTTATTCACCTTTCAAGGGATTAACACACTTGACATTTCCGGAAACAAGCTCTCTGGCTATATTCCTGATGCCAACTCTAACACTACTTTAAGTTTCAACAATATTGCGAGACAAGTTCTTACAAATCCATTAATTTCATTCCGTGGACTGAATATAAAAGTTTCAGTGTTTATTGCTGACAGAACTGAATTGAGCTTCAGATATAACATCTCAACCATGACTGGAATCGATCTGTCTGATAACTTGCTGCATGGTGGAATTCCAGAGAGTCTGTTTGGTTTTCACGGATTGGAGTATTTGAATCTGTCGCGCAATTTTCTTGATGGTCAAATACCTGGGAGTATAGAGAAGATGCAGAGTTTAAAGGCACTGGATTTGTCACATAATTCATTGTCTGGACCAGTTCCTGAAAATATATCCAGCCTTGGGAACTTGACAGTTTTGGATATGTCTTTTAACTGTTTCTCTGGGATCGTTCATTGGAAGCAGGGGTATTGGAGATTTTCAGGGGCATTTTCCGGGAACCCAGACCTCTGTGTGGAGTCGTCTAGTGATGGATGTGTGAGAGGAAACACTGAAGTGAAACACAGAATGAGTTTTGAAGATAGGGATGATGGACCGGTTTCAGTTTGGGCGTTTTGTCTTAGTACTTTTGTTAGTTTTTATGTTTGTGTCATTGCGCTGTTCTGTTCGGGCCTAACAAGAAACTACATTCTGCAGACAAAGGTCTGATTTATGTATTATGTGTGTATGTGACTATAGAAGTAGTTTCACGTGTTTCATTGTACAGTAGGCTAATTTTAATCATAAATGATGGAATTACACGAATGTCATTTCTATGCCAAAAGGCTCAAAACAAAGAACGAAAGGGAAAGAGCCTTGTTTCTTCTTTTTTCTTTTTATGTTCTTACTCAGAACAGAGTGTTAACTGGCCTTAAGTCCATTAGTTACACTGTTAGAGTGAGGACCTACTTGTACTAAATGACATTGGTATTCCCGAGTCACAACTATGATTGCTCCATTTTACACTAATGCATGTTAAGTTTCATCTGGAAAATGGCTCACTAGATTGCCGGTGCTTTTTTGTTATGAAGCAGCAGTTAGTTCATACAATTCTCGACATGATTTTTAATTCACTACGGGTCATCCGGAAACAGTCTCTTTGTACTTTAATATAAGGGTAAGACTACGTACATACATCCAACCCCCTAGGGATGGACCAGGCCCGACGGGATTTAGATTTTGGGTGGGATTGGGTTTGGGAATTGAAGGCCCGATACCGGCCCGGGGGGTCTAGGTGTTAAAAAAAATGGTTTTTCTTATTTATTTCTACCCCCACCCCCAAACTCCCCAAACCACCACCCAGCCCCACCCGCCTAGCACCCAATCCATTCGAGAGGAAAAAAATTAAAAATGGGCCCGGGCCGGTCCACCAAATAACCATCCCATACCCCTGCCCCCAGTTTGGGCCCCAAATCCCGGTCCCGACACAATATGGACTGGGTCCGAACCAACCCAGTCCATGCCTAACCCCCTTGCCCTACTGAAGGTGAGAGCTTTTGCGACACTGGGGTAATGATGATGGTGGATGTCGAGTTTCATTTTTTTTAATCTCGACGCCCATTCTAAAATGTAACACCCATTCACAGACAATAAAACCAAAAAAAGAATTATGAGGATGACACTATTATCTATATTATATATAAAAATAAAATAGTGGCAGCACTCTTTGGGCGGGAATACTGTAGATGGATTTGTTTGGCCGATTTTGGTTAATTATTTAGAAGAGTTTATTTTATTGGAGTGGTAGAGTTAATTAATTACGGTGTTCATGTTTCAAGAAACAAAATGATACCGAGCAATAGATGTGGAAGCTTACCAAAGCAAATTAAAGTATCTTTACAAAGTTCTAGAATAATTATTGTGTTTAGTGGCTCGATGTAATTAATTTGCAGCTATTAAAAATCAAATCAATTATAAAAAGGGTGATATTCAGATGCGATAGCAAATTGGCAATCTTCAAAAGCAAAATCTTGAGTTTATGAGGAATTCTTAAATCATTTCTATTTTCAATAAGTGGCATCCCTTCTTTAAAGTGTTACTGTGTTAGGCTGCCGTCTTTTTCTATAAAATAAATGTCTTCCAATAAGGTCTGCACAAAGCTCGATTCCAGTTTATTTGCTACGGAGCTATGCAAAAAAAAAGTCTTCACAGAGCTTCACTCCACTAACACGTAGCAGGTGTTAATTTTCATTGTAATATCTGTAGGAGAGCACTTAAATTAATGTGTACTCTTCCATACGGTGAGTGATTAAGTTGTATTCTTGCTGAATCTTGCGTCTATACATCGAAATATGTTAGGATTTTAATCAAGGATAAAAGAAAAAGTATGATTTATTAAAATACAAATTACTACGTATCTACTAATAATAAATAGTGTTTTTATATATAATTACGATTAGGGTGAAATTTTCGGATTTCAGTCAGGTTTGTTCTTTGAAAGAGGCAATTGTGTCTTATATTTTTGTTTTCGATTTTTGAAGTAGAGTGTGGTGTTGTTCGAATTGTGTTAGAAGCTATTATTGGTTATTTTACTTTTCAGTTTTGTTGTTAAAGACTGTAATTTGAACTGTTTGCTTCAACGCAATTACAGTCTGTATTCTATGATTTTTTTTGAAAAGATCTGTATTCTATGTTTAGATGCTTCAATGCAACATTTTAGATTGGATATATTTATTGATTTGATTGATAAAATTTAAAAAAACACAATATAACCATACAAAACCCTTCATTCTTATCATTTCTATGCAACTTCATTACTTCAACTAATGTGCATAATAGTGATTCAAATATAGAATCGGGACACAGGTTCTACACCATGGTTATTGATATTGTTGTGTATTGAATGGGACTAAGAAACACCATGTATGTGAACTATTTGAAAACTCATGAGATGAAAGTGAGAAATGATATGAATAAAACTTGATGGAGTATTGTGATTGGTTACATCTCATATTATTTTAATTTCTGAAACTGTCTCGAATATTGTTTGAACTTTGACATTTAAGAGGCCATATTTTGTCTCAGAGTCTATTCAATTTTTATTTATTTTAGTTTACACCTAATTTGCTATTGAACTTTCTCAAAATGTTATAGCCATAGTTTGTAAAGCAACTTTCAAAGCACTGAGAACGAATACATGGAGCAGAACAAACACAAGTCAATGAAGGATAGGAGAACTATTCTATGGTTTGGTTGTTTTTTAGAAATATTCTATGTTTGTTAATTTGCATTTTTTCTCATATTGATTGATGTATGTGTTCGATGACCAGTGGCAATCAGTTATGATAGAGGTCAACATAAATGCCGACTCAATATTTGATGTGTGATGTGTGGATGGTATAAAGAAGATGGTTACTACTTCCTACTATAAAGTCTAACCTTACATATTCCTTTACATTTTGAGCAGGTCTAACCAAAACCAATTTGTGAGGGTATTATTTGGCTGACTATTACTTTGTTGTTGTCGTTTGAGGTTTTATTCATTGAATCGCACATTGTACATTTATTATTATTTAGCCAATTTATTTATTTGTGGGAAAGTTCTAATATTATGGCACTCCTTTAGAAGATATCTCTAATGGCAATTATAGAGGGTGTTTGGATATACTTTTTAAAAGAACTTCTGCTCTTTTCAGGAGTAGAAACATATTTTAAAATATTTGGATAAAAGTGCAAATGTAATTTTGTACAGATTTTAGAATATTTGGATAAAAGTGCAAATGTACTTTCGGGTGCTCCAATTTATTCATACAAGTAGTTTTTTAAAAGATAGTGGAAAATAACTTTTGAAGAATTATTTTGCTTCTCTTTTTAAAAAGAAGTAGAAACAAAATCAATCAAAACACCCAATAAACATTCAAAATTCATTCTCCATATGTACGAATAAAAAAGTGTTTGTTTTTTTACTGAATCAAACTTTGTTTTATATATTAATATTAGAATAATATCCCGTGCATCGCACGGGTACTATACTAGTAAATTGTGTGAAATAAATTATAAGTTGTGTGATATGGTATGATACAAAAGAACTTGACACCATTATTGTCGATGCTCTAATCGACTAATCTCCCTCCGGATTCTAGGGAGTCAAGGGGTCAAAGACAACGAAATTCATAACCCATTATTTTCTTTTTGGGAAAACTGTCAAATAAGCCTTCAAAGTATGCCTAAAAAGTCAATTAAGCCCTCCAACTAAAGAAACGTTCAATTGAGTTCTTCAACTATACAAAAATGATCAATTTTCTAATTTAGCTGACAGAGAGTCGGTTAGCCGGTCACCTTACTGACGTCTGGCATATTTTTTATGTTTTTCCGTTTTCATTTTCGTTTCTTTACCCCCTTTCTTTTTCCAAGCTACTTTCTTCTTCCGGACAACCCAACAACCAACTAAATCCCTCTTTATTCTTCTTTTCAGCCTGCCCCTACTATACCCCCCGTTGTTCTCCTTCTTCTTCAGCCCACCCCTCCACCCTCTTCAATCTTTTTCAGCCCGTCTCTCCCCACCCTCCCCCTCCCTTCTTCCTCTTCTCAGCCCGCCCCTCCCCACCCCTCTGTCTTCCTCTTCTCCAGCCCGCCATACACGGCGGCGATGAACCAGCTCGTGACGGGAGACTGTAGAGGCCGAAAATCAGGGAAGAGGCCGGTAAGGAAATAGCCGGAGAGAGAGACGGCGATGACGGCGCCGCTACATTCACATTCAGCTCCGGCCCAGCTGCAAGGGATGAGATCACGTCCAGACCATGAAGAAAATGCGCCGCTGAACCAACACACGTACAGACATTTTAGAGCTCTTGTTAATTGGTGTAAGAAAATGTTGATTCAATCCAGAAACGCTGAAAGGATCACAAAAAACAGAGAGGAAGACTGGAAGAGGAAGCATACGTACAGGAGGGAGATTGGAGAAGAAATTTGGGGCAGAACTGCGGAAGAAGGGGGAAGAACGTTTGGTGGTGGGAAGAATAGAGGGAGAAGAAGGGTGCGGGGGCCAGAGGAAAAAGGGGGAAAGTAAAAAGAGAAAAGTCAAAAAATGACACTTGGCTGCCACATCAGCTGTGTCACCGGTTGACTGAGAATAACCTGGCTAAATTAGAAAATTGAATGTTTTTATATAGTTCATGGACTAAATTGGGTGTTTCTTTTGTTGGAGCCCTTGGAGGACTTAATTGACTTTTTTGGTATACTTCGAGGGTCAATTTGACAGTTTTCCCTTTCTTTTTTTATCCTATAAATGAAAGAGTTGTATGACCTGTATTGGTTCTTTCTTTTTTATATTAGTCAGAACTATACATTTATTTTTTTTCAAATCAATCACAATCTTTTTTATATCAATTACAACAAAAAACTACGAGATAGATGAAGCCTATATATTTAGAAGCTGTATTATCTTATTATACAAAACTACTCATGACCAACTAGTTGTTTTGCATATATTTTTGACATACTAAATCTTCATAATTTTCTTTAATACGTAGTATAAATTTACATATTATAATAGTGAAACATAAACATTAGCGAGTTTGGTAAGTTAAACTGAGAGTATCAAGTTAAGACATTAATAATAAGTTAATGAACAACAATAACTACAAGTACGTGGGTACTATGGGTTTGATGCAGGGTGGACTCCATGATTTTAATCGAGAGTCAAATGATGAGTTCATGAATTAATAAAATTTCAAAATGTTTTTAAATGCTTACAATTTAGACCGTTCTAATAGCATATCCTGAAGAAATACCACAGAACATGACTATGCACCAAATTTAAACAATTAGATGACAATTCTGATTCTGACAAAGGATTGGAGATGGGTATATCATTAGGGAAAATTAATAACGCAATATCTCATAGCATTGAAATACGTACTATATGCGACGTAGTAAATTCTAATCGTTTTGGGGCTTCAACTTTATCGTAGCCGTTTAGTAATCCTATTTTCACCTAATTAATTTTATTTTAGGCTAAAAGGTCAAATAGGTCTCCGAACTAATTTAAAAAGTGCAAATCATTTGAATGCCTTCTCGGTTGATTTTTTAGCTGAAATTTGGTATGAGTAAATTAGACTTAATGAAGAAGATGCTCAAAAAAATAATCAAAAAATTCCACCAAGAACCGCCCCAAATGACGACGGCCGGACAGAGCCTTCTATATAAGGGGTGATTTGCACTTTTAAGTTAGTTCGAGGGTCTGGTAAAAAAAAGCTAGTTCGAGGGTCTATTTGACCCTTTAGCCTTAAATTTATGTTAATATTTTTATCAAATTTTATCAAATACATAACTTTTGATTTTGCACACTGAATCATTTAATAACAAAAATAAGTAAGGTTGAAGTTACTTTGCTGACTGAATTGATTTAATTTATTGTGAATGATCATTTTAGCTATTTTGGCATATAAATATATTTTAAATATGATTTTTCCGTAACTCAACAAATTCAGCAAGTTCAATTGATTCACTCATGCACAATTTCATCAATTTCAACAGATTGAATAAATCCAGTCTTACCAAACTCACTCTTAAATTGGGTTGGGGATCCTGCCTAAGCTAGTGAAAGTGTGAAACTTGAGGAATGTGAGGGGCGGGAAAATTAGGGTAAGAATACAGTTTTCTTTATTAGTCGAGGATCCTTGTGAAAATTAGAGTAAAAGTACATTTTTTCTTTATCAATTTACGTATATGAATGTAAACTAACCACATGATTAGTGAGTACGAAGTATACGTATTAGATTATCAGAGCAAAAGTTCAGTCGTACTTCGGTTTCTTATCTTAATTATAATCAATCTTGAGCTTAGTTAACGAGCTCATCCAATTCAGTGAACCCACCTAACATCATTTGATTTCGAACCTTATGAACATGTTCGTGAATAGGTTTGTTTGTAAGCTTATTTTGTTAGTTATTTCAATTGTAATTAATACACATATTACATGTATCTAAGTATCTAACCTACAATAATCGAGCTTGAGTTTGGCATTGCAAGCAAAACTTCACCAAACAAGTTTTATTTGCAAATTTTATATTGCTTAAAAGTTGAAACCAAGCTCAAACTAAAGTATACAGGTTGGAATCGAGCTCGAGCTCCTCGTAAACTAAAATCATCCGAGCTCAGTCATGATATTTTGGCATGATTTAATTTATGTAGATCCCCAACTATAAAGTGTTATTCCATGGGTCCATGGGTAAAATAATTTACATCCTTCTTTTGATTTTCAACTTTACATCGATTCTTTCAAGTTTAATACGTAGTAGTTTCCAACCTAAATGCCTAATTTTCAGAAAGTTTTTATGACAAAACATATTACAAAAAGACTTGACTATAATGAAAACAAAACAAAAATTCTTATGGTACACAAAATTAGTACACAAATTGTACACAATCCCTCTATTTGCTTGTGTACACATACAATTCATTTGAAAAAGGAAAATTTTTTATTTCAAAATGCCTATGTACATAGACCGTGTATAATTTGTGTTCAAGTTTTGTGTACACCAGGAATGGTTCTAATGAAAGAGATGATTTAGGAGGGGTGGGGTCACGGATACTAGAAGAAGGAAGCACTACAAAAAAACACTCGTTTAGTCACGGACCGTAGTCACGGATTTGGTCCGTGACTAGCCTAGTCACGGACTAGTCACGGAATATTCACGAAAATTCAAAAAAAAAATTAGTCACGGATTTGACCGTGACTACAGCCGTGACTACGCGTAGTCACGGAAATTTGTCCGTGACTAACATCCTCCGATTGCCCGTTTGTTTTTCCGACCTGGCTTGTTTTACTCCGGCGACATAGTCACGGCCACATCCGTGACTACAGCCGTGACTAAATTTAAAAAATAATTTTTCATCTCCCATAAATCAATCCGCAACGGTATTATGTACGGATAAATTTAGTCACGGCCATGTCCGTGACTATGTCCGTGACTACTTTGATTAACACGTCATTTACATGTCATTAACACGGATCGGACGCGTAATGGACACGGTTTTGCTTAGTGACGGACAAATCCGTGACTAAGTCCGTGACTACATTTTTTATATATGCAGGAGCAGCTCATTCATTCAACAGAACCACACGAATTCATTCCCAGTATATACAGTATCTGTTTGAAAGATCGAAGGATGTAGTCTGTCTTCTATCATTTTCCCCATTTATGCAGTTAAGGTATGTTATTTGAATTATTATTTTTATTTAGAATTAGTTGGTTCAATTTAAATTATTAAAATTATTAAATTAGTGATGTTGTTAATTAATTAACAACATATTCAACTGTAAGCGTAGTAATGTCATAAAATTAGTTAAACTGTTAGGTTTATAAAATAATTTAATTAAAATTAGTTAGCTAAACGTAGTTTTAAACGTAGTGATCTTTATGTTAAGTGAAATTAGTTAGTTAAACGTACGTTAGTAATGTGTTAATTAAGTGTATTGTGAATTGTTATTGTAATTGTGTATTATTTATTAATTCAAATGACCTTATATACATGTTCAAATTATTGGGTTTAATTTGGTCATATTATTTAATTTAGTGAATTGGAATTGTTAATTGTGTAGTACTAATAACATTAAATATCATTAACGTAATAATTTAGTGTAGGTTTAAATGTAGGTTTACAAAAATAATTTAATTAAAATTCGTTAGCTAAACGTAGGTTTAAACGTAGCTAGTGATGTGTTAATTATGTTATATTAGTTAGCTAAACGTGGGTTTAAACGTAGTGATGCATTAAAAGAGGACGGAATGAACTAGTTAAATTTAGTTAAATTTAACTAAATGAATTAGTTAAATTTAGTTAAACGTATGTTTAATTTAAATGTAGTGTTAATAAATTACTTAAATTTTTTTTAATATTAGTTAAATTTAAGTATTAGGTAATTACTTATATTTTGTGAATTATTGTTGTGAATTGTGTGCATTTCATTTAATTTAGTGAAAATTAGTTAGTTGATTATTTAGTGAAATAACTCACTTAAAATTTGTTAGTATTATTGTTAGTATTTGAACGTGTATACTTTTTTATTATAATATTCAGGCATAATGTATAAACAAAATAGAAGTTGGATGTATGATAAAGATGCGGTATTGTACGGAATGCAATCAAATTTTCTCGAGGGAGTTGGGGAATTTATTGAATTTGCACTTGAACATCCGGCTTATATGAGTGGTGATAAAATAAGATGTCCATGTTCAAAGTGTAAAAATCTCAAATTTAAAGACCCACACGAAGTTGGGTATGATTTGTACGCGGTCGGTTTTGTTCCCAATTATTATAATTGGACTTCTCACGGCGAACCTTTGGATCCATCTGTTATACCACAAACGGTAGGTTCGTCTCGTTACGTCCCTCCAGAGATGAGTGCGTGGGGAGACCGTGCTGAAATGAGGTGGGACCAACAAATGGTATATGACGCATACGGTGTACCGATGTCTCAGTTCACCCCCCCCCCCCCCACAACCACCTAACGACCCCCCTGAAGCCTCAACCTCGTATCAACCAGATGCGGATGAAAATCCGACATTTTATCAACCTTATGTGGATGAAGGTTTGGCTGAGAGATTTCAGGATGTTCTAAAAGCTGCCGACCAACCTCTGTATGCTGATTGTGAGGGATACTCAGCTATCCGCCGTTACTGAATTCATGAACATAAAAGCCGAATACAGTCTCCCTGAAACTTGCATGAATAGAGTCTTGCAGTCAGTAGGAGGGATGCTACCGCGAGATCATACCCTTCCGGATTCATATTACCACATGAAGCAGTTAATGTCTAAGTTGGGGCTACCTTGTGTTGAAATTGATGCGTGCCCGGAAGGGTGTATGTTGTTCTGGAAGGAGGATGAGGCACTTGTTGGAAAAATGTGTGAAAAATTGCATTAAATGGCTATTTTGGGACAATTTTTTGAGTGGGGTCCACTTCCGATTTGGGTCGGGTCAAAGTGGTTTCGGATTGTCCTTGTTAAGGGCTACAATTCGATATATGGTACGCTCAAAACGGATAACGGGTGAATGAGAAATCGCTTTTCGAAGTTTACCCGTTAGAATGGAAAAACTGGGAAAAAGGATGGGTTTCTAGTGTGTTAATTTCCCACACCGGAAAACCCAAGGGATTTGCAACCCTTTATAAAGGGACTCTCCCCTTATGGAGTTAAGATTCCTAAGGGTAAAGGCTCTCTCCACGCGCGCAGGGGGGGGG